AGAAAAATAAAATATTCTGAATTATGACTATTATATCATCTATGTAGAGTATTACCCTTCGTATTATTATTTTAGTAACTTAAAAACTAAAAAGTGAAATTCCAAATAAAGCGGATTTTGCTGTAGAAAATTTTTCAATTGATATCTATTAGCAATCTACTAAGTATCATCTATGAATTTAATATTGCATATAATAATTGAATAGCATTTTAAAGTATATAAACAACTTAAATTTTTAAAATAATCATTATTCACTTAATAATAAAAAATAAAAAAAAAGGCCTATAAGGTTTACTAGGTAATATTCTTACATTTAAATTTGATAATTGATCAATTTACTGTTATATTAAACATGCCAGAGTTAAATGGATAATTCAGAACGAACAATTTGCCATGCTATGCGTTTGTTAGACGGAGACACCGTATGCGGGTGCGACCTCCTCTCAATAAAAATATATTAATTTAGTGATATTTACAATCATTATAATTGAATGTTTTTTGTCAAGTTTAAAAATGACTGGACTATTATTGTGTGGTGACTTACGACTATCTCGTTGCTATAATTGTAATATAAATAAGTTAATCAAAATAATTGGCTTGGATTTCGTACGACGTACACGATCTACCAAAAAATATTACCGAGTTTATATTTTTATATCAAATTAATGACAAATTTATTTTTTCTAATTATTTTATGTATTCATTATTAATAAGATATTTTAAATTGCTACCAGTTTTTATGCCACCCTAGCTACCAACATATTTTTGGTAAAGCATATATTGAATTTTTATTGTATTTTTTGTTTCAACTACGTTACATATTATTTTGTATTTATAAAATGAATAAAGAAATAGTTAATTTAATTTAAAGTACTTCTCACTATAGCACTACACAAGTTAACTAATATAATTCAAACTGTATAGGTCGAACAAAAAATATTGATAGATAGATATACCCATCATATTAAACTGGTATCATTTATTAACAAATTAAATTTGTTCAATTGTACGAAAAATAACTTACCTTTAAATAATTGCTAATAATAATAAAAAAAAAAGGTACCCATGTAACTTTTGCATTAAATATTAATGCACTATGATGTGAACATTATCATAATTGGGTTCAAAATAAAATCGTATAACTCATTCCAGTCAACACATATTTACGTCAGTGTTTTTCAAATTTTTTTTTCACGGATCTCCCTAAATTTAATGTGAAACTGTCAAGGCTCTCTTAATCAAAACTATTAATTATTTTTCTTAATTATATACTAAAAATAACAACTAAACAACCGACAGTATTTTTAATAAAAATAAATATTTTACGACCCACCAGTCATATAGCCACTGTCCCCAACTTGAGAAGTATTGATTTACGTTATTAATGTTTATTTCAAGTATATATAGTATATTATTGTTACCGACGATAAATGCGTCATCGTTTCCGGGAAAAAATAAATACACACGCTAAAATAAACAAAAACAAAAACCAATAATTGTATCCTTAGCTTTTCAGACATATTAGATATCATAAAACGTTATTTAATCACCAGTCAAAATAATGATTTATCAAAATTCTAAGTGAACACTATACTTGTTGTCTGATAGTTGACACCGGTGATCAGGACAATGATTTTGAGACTTTAGCGTTGAACGTGAAAAAAATATTATTTAATAAAGTCAATTTTCAGTAATAGATACTATTCAGAGCCGGATTAATAAAATTAGTGACCCTGAGCTAATTTTTTTTTTAAGGCTCTAATTCTAGAAAAAAAAGTATTTTTATAATAATATGTCAATTGATATTTATTAGTTAAATAAGGAAAATATTTTTTCTCAAACAGCAAATTTACATTACATAGTTAATATAATAATTTATTAAAAACTACAATTTAATTAAGTATTAAAATATAAAATATATGGTCATAACACAAAATGTTAACTAGAAATTTGAATTGAGAAAGAAAAAGATTAAAAGAATTTAATCTTCTGTCAAGTTCAGAAATCAATTTATCTATAATAACAAAGAAAGTATTGACTTCAAACATTTTTTCCCCACATAAAATAGTTTGATTTTCACATCGTCTATTGTTTTCTTTTACCAACGTTTTCATAGTTTTTATAATTTTTGTATTAACAGTCCTAGTCAAATTATTATACTTTTCTTAGTTTTTTCTTTTTAAAAGTATAAATTGTCGTAAAGAACTAATTAGGTTACAGCTAGACAATAAATCTAACCCAGATTTTTTAACTTTTCATTGACTTTATTAAATCTTTCTAAAATAGTTTGCCATTAGACACACATAAAAGCCATCTCAAATTTAAGAAATTATTTTCATTATTAGTTTTGCTTCACTTTTTACATCAGATTTTTCTTCAGTATCATTATTTATGTTTTAAATGCTCTCACAGATTCAAATTGACACCACCTAGTTTGACTCAAACTTTTAAGACTAAGTAGTTATTGATTATCATTTGGACTCAAATTCGTTATTAAAACGGTTCACCTTCGAGGTGAAGATGAAAAAAAATTATATAGTTTTTGCAAGTATGAAAAAAAATGTATTATTTTTTGATATGATTCAGTAGCACTGACATCAATTAAATTTAGCGTGTGACCCGTCCAAGAAACAAATTGTCTAAATTAATTTTTTTTTTTATATATATATATATAAGTTTGTAACCTTTCATATTTTACGGACATATTTCCGGCGTTATCAAATGACTGTCCAGGGTAATTTTTTAGAGTTAAATTATGTTAAATTAAAATATTTTAATTATTTATCTATAATTGTAAAAAAGCTGCAAGCCCGTAATATTTTTTAAGCGCCCTGGGATATGGCCCGCTTAGCCTTCCTTTAATCGGGTGCTGGGTATTACTTAGGTCATTAAAAAGTTTTTGGCGTCTCAGTGTACACGTACATCTTACACTTAGGCGTGGCACTGCCCCTAGACGCCACTAGACCTTATATCAGACATTTTGTTGTGCCTTGTTTTTATTCGTATATTAATTGAATTTTATTACCTTAATGAAAACCTCCGAATGTGCATCCATTCCAACTTAAAAAAACAAACATGTTTACTTATATTATTAAATTTATTACTAATATAATTTTTCTACAACTCGCGTTAATAATTTGAACTGAATTTTTCTTATGTCTATAATAAAAAGCAAAAAAAGACAATATTGTCAACGACAAGAATAAAATTAGGTTAACCAAGGGTTGACGAAATAATTGCATATTATTGACAATAAACTATACCTATTATAATACTTAAGCGCCTACTTACAAGTTATAAAGTGTATAACAATATAAATAATTACACTTTTAACATTTTTATCGATGTTATAATCAAAAATGATAGTTTTTCAAATAAAGGTTTTTTTATTACATTTTATTTTTCTTTGAAGAATACATACCAATGCATAATATTGCAAATATATTATAATGATACAAACAGAATACGAGTTAAAAGCGTGCTGATAAAATTTAACAGAAAGAGTGTTAATGTAATTCAAAAATGGACTTACAATAAAAATGTAATACATTCTGATGGGTTTATAAAATATGTTGTAGGATACACATTAAAATACGTATAGTAGGTACCCATATAATAATATCATCATGATCAATGATACAAAATGGCATAAGTACCTATTTTGTTATTTACATATCTATCGTAGTGATACGGCCGTTAATCAAACTACACCTATAAACACGTTGCACGAATTATGTGATGAGTGACGTGTGGAACGAAGGGAAGAGCTGTAACTATAAAATATTTATTTTTACGTATCATATTTTCTATTTATTTTATTTTTATCAAAATTTGTTAGATATTAGATATTATTTTTTATTTTTATCTGCTTTTTTATCTTATTGATATTTTTAATATTAATAATAATTATTGGAATGATAAATAAATCGACAGCAAGCTAAATACCTATCGTACTAATAACCTAGGTTAATTAATAGTTTTATTATTCATACATTTACACTTAAATACTAGAAGTAATACTATTCTTTATTTTATAGATTTCTATACTAGAAGTACCTTCTTAATTTAATATTAAAGTCTATGTATTATTATTTATGTTATAAGTTATCATTGATCGCATTTTTTTAATCGCTAAGGTAAAGTATACTTAATAAAATAATAAATAAGATTCGGGTTTGAAGGCAAATGTCTTTTTTTATTGATAATGATAGAAAATAATGCTTGTTTAAAAATGCGTTTCATTTAATTTATGAGTTATTATACTTGCCTTTTTTTACCTATAAATGCTTTTTTTTCGTTTTTGTGTTTAATTATAATAATAGTTTTATATATATTTACAATATAAGTATATAAAAGCTTTTTAAGACGATGCGTTGTTAATGTCATGCTTAAAATTACCTTTAATAGGTACGCTTTAATTATGCTGTTAAATTTTATTAAAATACCTATACTATCTATAGATTAAAATGTATTTGACAAATAAACATATTTGTTTTTTTTTTACATTTTAAATGTTTTTCTTTTTTATTGTTTTGTATTACCTTCAAATCCAAATCCTACTAAAAAATAATAGTTATTACTTATTACTGGGACTAGAATTTATATGCAATAAAAAAAATGTAAAATATGCATTTGTAAATGCAAGGTTTAAATGAAAATGCAAATGGATTATTAAAAATATGCAATTATTATTATACGCGCCAAAAAAATATGAAATATATACTAAAAAAAAAAAATCATACATTTTAAAGTTAATAAAATAGTATTCTTAAATGTGTTACACAAAACAACTACATAGTGTTTTATATTTTTAATACTGAACAATCTTCTATTAGACCTTAATATGTTCTAATATAGGTATTTTTGAATAGCATCAATATACATACTATCACACGTTAAAAACGTCTGGTAACGAAATAGGTATACCATAAAACATGCATTTTTTGCGTTTTCATAGTCAAGTATGCAATGATATTAATTTTATTTAAATAAAAGCACTACTGTTCTTCTCATCGTGAGGCGTTTCGTACACATTACTGACAAAAGCAATAATCAAAAGTTGCAAAAAAAACATACTGTTGCATATAAATCCTAGCCCTACTTATTACCTATATAATTATTTAAATATATTTTAATTTGAAAGGAGGTGTACGGCACTACGACACAACGTGCTATAAAAAAATATGGAGACATACAAAAAGTATACAGAGTCCCCATATTTATTTACGTTATTACCTATAATTTATTTTGTCAATAATTTAAACACTGCTACACACTAATATATTTAAACTTGCAGTGCCTAATATTTAAAGGTAGACTCTTAATTTTCCTAAGTTCATTTTACCGCACACGACGCAGTAGATGTTGTCTTCTTCTACAGCATCCGCTTTTGGACATTGGTTAACATTGTTTGGGACACATGTCTCTATCAAGTGACGACACGGTAGATTCATAAAATAATTTCCACCCACGCATCCTGGCTGTATCCAGAACGAGCCGTCGGACTGGAATACCGGCATCATGAAGCCAGTGATTATTGTTCTGCAAAGCGGGCAATCACGAATTGCAAATGAGCAATCTACACAGGTCGCAATATGTAAACACGACATCAAAGCAACAGTGCGCAATTCGGTGCTGCACACGGTGCATTCAGTTACGGTGGTCGTGGACAAGGCAACTCGCAATTCACTGTAATAATAAAAGTTATATATTAAATAATATTTTAGAAAATAAAGTGGTGTAAACTGATTATAGGCAATGAAATAATAATAATGATAACATTATAATGTAAATATAAACATTATTACATAGGTATGCTAAATATTTAATGATGTAAGACTGAAATTTTTTTTTACCTTATGTATTATTATGTATTACCTATACACGTTTATTAAATTTTGTATCCTTATGCGTGTATAGCAAAACTATTTTTTATATTATTAACATTTTATACAGCACATAATATTCAAAATTAATTAATTTTAAGTCGAATTTTGTGTGTAGATTTTTTCACTACAGAGGCGAGTGCGTGTGCTGTTAGTTGACCGATTAAGAAAATTATTAGGTTGGTCAAATTTTGCAATTAGTTTAAAGAATTGAATTAAATTAAAAATTTATATATTATATACTATACATGATAGATATTTTGATCAAATATTCAGATGCAGTTGTATTGATCAAATAAATAATTAATGATAAAAATATAAAATTAAAAAGATCGTGAGTTTTGAGTTCACCAAGTGTTTAGATGGATATAGTTTCCTATATTTAAAATTAATGATAACTGATAAATAAATAAATTCAAGATAAATATCAATAAATGATGACCAATGAGACTAAATAGCATACATGCTCTTAACTCTTACTACATCTATACTACTATGGTCATTGTCTTCAATATAGGTTTTTTATTAACACTCCAATTAATTTGAAATTTTTTAGTTAACATTTTCGGATGAAAGATTTGCAGTATTCTCAATATCTATTTTATAAGTATGATAACTTTAGAAATCAAATCATTGTCCATTTTATGCTATTTATAAACACTAAAAAATTAATTGCATTATTTATAACAATAATAACTATTATTTTTATAATTATTTAAATATATAATTTTTAAATTATTAAGCAAGTTTTAGATTAAAAGCGGAGCGATAATGTTTAATTTTTTTTTTGTATCTATAAATACTTTTTGGGGCAGTGAGAATTTTTTAATTTTTAAAAATAGAAATGGTTTCTGGTTGAACATTTGATTTAATTAGTACTTTAAACGGTTAAAAAAATGTATATATATAATCGGGAAAAACAAAAAGGAAATAAAGAAAACCTAACCGCGGAGACATTTACACAAATCAAATTTTAGAAAAATTCGATTTTTACGAATATATCATCGTTTTTATTTTAAAATTAAGTTTTTAATTTTTTTTATATTTTTCTAGAAATGCGAATTGAAATTGGAAAATGTTTCAAAATTAAAATTTAACACAAAGCTTAATACTTAATAGCTTAACATAAGTTGTTAATTTCTCAATTAATATATATCAAAATTTTTTATAAGTTTTTAATCTATATTTTAAGAAACATTTTGATGATTTTATATACTGTGTAAATAACGATATGAATCAATGACGAAACCGTGTGACTAAACACGCACTAATATTATTAAACCCTCCTTGAGTTACTGTGTCATTACGGAAACATAATATACTCACGTTGTTTTTCGATCAGTCATGCCTTCGCACATGTCAAAAAACTCCCCTACAGGAATAGTTGGTGGGTGCAAATCCAACTCGGGATCGATCACGGCCGCGTTTAGCTCCGTTCTGTTCCTCGGACGGAAGTCGTACATCGATTCCCGTACCCGTCTAACGTAATCCGAGCCCATCTTCATCAACAAAAATTTGCAAGACGGTGACTTCTTGGCGTGGTATTTCCACGGGTCATTGGCAAACTCGGCGCTCAAGGTGACCGCGTGATGGCAACTGAAACACGTGATCTTACTGTCGACGATCGGAGTACGCGTGAATTCCCTGAGCGTTTTCTTTAACTCGCGCCAGCTCGTCGCTCTCGGAGTCGAGAATGTAAAGTAACCGGCCTGGACCATCCTGTTTAGCGCGTCTTCGTCAAAGCGCGGACGCTTGCGCGACTGCAACACCATGTGTAACGACACAAGCCTGTTACGCGTGAACACCGAGTACGGTATCTCGTTATACCGATGCGGGCGAATGATTAACAACCCCATCTTCATGAGCACGGTCTCGGCCACGGTCTTGTGCAGGAAGTTTCTGTACGCGTCGTGGTCGCACTTCCTCCAAAAGTCTGTCAGCGGCTTGAGATATCTCCTGTCGATGGACATCTCGCAATTCGTTGCGTGCATCCGCAACAGATCGTAAATGCTCATCGAAATTTCCGGGTGTTCTATGGAGGATTGGCACCGGAGGCACTCGTACACACAGTTCGCCACCTTTCGCGTGTTCAGGCCGCACGCGGCGATCAGCCCCACCAAGTCGTTCGTCATAGTGTAAGAGTTTCGAGCGTTGTTCATAACGAGAGTGAACCGTCCGGTGTTGGACGGCAACGGCTTGCACTCAAAATTCGCGGCTATGATTGTGTGCAGCAGCGGTCCCTTGCCGTGCACCTGCAAAAGTCGCTCCATATATGGGCGTACGATTTCTATGGGGAACGCCGTCACCCGATCAAAGTTTGTTTCGTGAAAATCGTTTGACCAGCTCACGTCTGTAAAATTTCTTTTCATGAACAATTCCGTGTACGCGTAGAACACATCGTCGAAACGATGGCTGTCGTACTTTTCTACTTCCTCCGCCATTGCTTTGTTACGGTTTATTGTCCGGAAAAATGCCTGGGTGGGAAGGATTCTATATTTATGCGTATTGATGAATATAAGGTGGTATAATATCCGTGGTTCCTCTTGATAGCTGGTTAATGACAGTGATGGTGGTGGTATTGGTGATCTAAACGAGTACAATTAATAGATATAATCACACGCACAAATGTTAATATTATTTTTTATTTTTTCCTATCATCAACTTAATATGATTAATAATACGATGTATTTCAGCCTTGATTTGAACTACTAATAATAGCAACGTAGTAGGTTTTAAAATAAATTTTTAACGGTGCCGTAAAATATATTATGTTATTCGAATTTGTTTCCGCTAGTTGGTCGATATTAAAAATTAGAGATAGTCAATTTTTAATTATTATACTGTACATATACAAATTAAATTAAAATCGATTATGTTTTTAAACGATTATTAATTACTCCATAAAGTACTCCATAAGTTTTTGTATATTTGTGAAACATTTACAGCATTTTAATATTCCCAAATCAAATTAATACTTACTTGTTTTCGTGTACTAAATAGTCAATCATATGTATGAAATTTGAGATTATATTTATATTAAATTTGATAAAATGGAAGAATTGTAAATTTTATTTTGTTAACTATAAAACAAGTAGATAAAGCTGGCTAAAAAAATTATGTATGTTATGGATTTTGGTGAATAACTATATATATTTATATACGTTATTTTCGACTTTAGTTGATATTTGAAAGGTAGCAACGTAAGGCAAAAGTTTAAAATTGACTGTTTATTATTTCCGTGATGCTTAGTATTTAAAAAAAATGCCAAAATTGCAATTATAAGCAAATAATTAGAAAATAATATTCCCAAAAATTCAAATATATTTTTGAAAAAACAATTATCGTGTAAACGCATTATTTTTTAAAACGATCATTCCTGTTGATCTACGATACACCACGGTGCTCTAAATTTATAGGTAGGTTTGTGAAAAAACGTTAAATTAGAACTCTTTTAAAAAAGTAGATACAATTTAAAATGTAGTATAAAGTTCGTTATAAATTCCAAAAAAATACACTAAAAAAAAAAAATTATGAATGCCTTAAAATCTCAACAAGTACAGTATAAAATTCTAAAGTATAAAATTTTAAAAATATAAAAATCTATCAAATATAAAATATTTTAAATTAAATTAATTAATTTTATTGTAAATTAAGTATGGCGTGCGTACAGTGTAAAAAACTTATAAGTTTAAAAAAAAAATAATCATGTAACGTGTATAAGTAATTTTTTGACAGAAATTATTAAAAATAATAAAAAACTGATGAAAAAATAAAAATTTTAAAATTGTTCATTCAAATTTAAGTACTTATTTGGAATATTGTGAAGAAGCTATACTATGTAATAAATTAAAAATAATACGTTTTTCTAAAAATTCATAACTTTATTTATAAGTGTTGGTTATGTAAAATAATTAAAACAAACCACTTTGGCTGACGACACTCGAAATAACTGTCATACCTACCTGTTAAGTATGCTATTATCTATTCCATCCCTATAATATTTTGTTAATATTGTTATACGTATACTATCATTGATTATATAAAATAAAATTTAGAATTTTAGTTTTAGTTTTAACAATTATTTTGTAAATAAAATTTTTAATTCATTTTAAACAGGTAACCATATTATTTTGTAATACACTATGTTAATATAAATAAATTTATTTAAATATATATATCATAATTTTTAGCACTTACATAGCATTTATTTAATAGGTAATGAATATTATCATTAATTAATTAAATTCCTTTTTAATGTGTTTTTAGTTCAAATGTTTAAATTATTTTATGTTTTGTATTAAAAGTAAAAATGAATTATTACCCTGCATAATTAATAATGGTATGTTTTTTAAATATTTAAATAATTAATATAGAACATTGAATAATATAATTTGTAAAATATTATAGAATGTTATAGAGTTGAAATGTACTTAGAGTCAGTGGAGGCGCGTGGATAATTGTACAGCGGGTAGACAACTAAAAAAATAGTGTTATATAAAATGTATTTAAGGATTAACTCAATTAACCGATTTTATTTTGTTGTAAACATATCTATCACACTGATTTTAATGTTGGATCTTTTGATAATTCACCTAATATTTTTTTTTTTAAATAGTTAAAATAGACAAAGATAAAAGTCTAATTTGTCATTGAATTTAAAAAATAATAAACATTACACATTACTCATAAGGGCAAAAGCCACTAAGCCACAGTAGGAATGCAACTAAATTATTAAAATATTATTTTGAGATATATCTCTTCTATTGTTCCATGCATATCATTTTGATAATACCCCGGTTTACCATGTCATACGCCCGTCATCAACAGCCAGACAGTTCAATATAATATTGTCTCGGCCGATACGTCGGCGACGGTGAAACAGCGATTTCGGTATAGACAAGATATAAATAAAACTATACATAATATATAAATATATAATATAATCACACTCGTTGCTCACACAGACACTGCTGAGACGAATCAGCGTAAACAACAATTTATTTATAAAACTATAAAGAAATAAAACACTTGTGTACTATAGTAGCATAATATAATAAACGAATAATTTTTAACTCTTCCACACCAAACTTATTTTTAGTCCTTAAAATTAAATTATTTGATATTTTTGAGTAGACTATGTTTTATTGCCTAAAGCACTGCCACTGCTTAGAGTACGTAGTGTTTGTAGAGTATTTTGTAGTCTAGCTTAGAGTCATACACAGTATAAAGTGATAGAAGTAATCGTAATGAAGCAATTTAAAGTGAAGAAAAATAAATTGACCATCGCCATCAGTTTTGTGAAAAAAGGACTTCGTATTCATATAATTTGCTCTTTGACACTAAATCATAACGCCGTGGCCTTATTTACCTAAACACTAATTACACTAAACAATCTATAGTAGGTATAAAATAAAGATGGTAGAAATCGTTTATAATTAGGTACGTTAGTTAAATTGTTAAGTATGAGGTTTAATGACCTAAAATTAAAGGTCCTAAAAAAATGTCTATATTTAATCGATTATTGTGGTATTCATATACCCTACAGATATATTAATATTTATTTACGATAAATTTAGACAAATATTTCGTGTATAATTACCACACAACATATGAATCATATTAACGACAGTTTATCGAAAATAAATTTCAAGATAAGGCGCATTGTTAAGTAATCAGTATAAAATTATTCGGCTATTAATAATAAAAGTTGAAAAATAAGAAAAAAAATACAACACGATTTTTACATTAAATTAAATCGATGTATGCTATTTGTGTAAAATATAATAAGTTTTGTAGTTAGTTACTTATAAATAATTGTCTATAAGCTAATTTAATACAGAGTTATATAAATACTTTGAAATGAAAATTACGTGCTGGCACAGCTTGTTTTTTAATGTAATTACCCTCCTCCCCTAACCACAAGTTTTAATTACGCTACTAGCGTAGACTAGACAACTAAAACTTGTAAAGGTACGTTTTCCCTTCAGCGCCAGTCTATGTAGTAGACTGAATGTCAAGGCACCCGAGTAATTAATCAGATATTAGGAGCTGAAATCGAGTATATTAATATTTTATTTTAGGTTATTTATCTTTTTAATCATAAATAACAGCAAGCTTCTATTTAAATAACAATATTATAATAAAGCAGAAGATTAAATAATTAAATGTTAACATATTTTTAACATATTATAAATATATAATATAATAAATACCTATTATAAATTAAATCAGGGATCCATGGCAGACCTGTCCATATCGTTTATCTAATTATTACAATAATATATATATATATTTAAAATTTCATATTATACTAAAAATAAGTTTGATAATAGATACCAATATTTTTAGTAAATAAAATCTTAATTGTTTATCAGTTTAACTATTTTTTTGATAGTCATTAGAAATCAATACAAAATTTTATTTTTTATCTTATAAAATTAATTGTTTTATGCAAAACTCTATAATAATAGAGTAAAAAGAAAATTGTATGACTCTAAACTTAATTATTAAGAGTTAAAAAAAAAAAAAAAAATAGTTGAACTTCGGCTGTAATGTTTTTAATAATAATAATAACAATAGTAAATTTTAATATAATATCTAAGCAATACGATTAATAGTTAATAATTAACTTACCGAGACACGAATAAGCTCACGTACGAGTATATAAGATATCTGTAACGGTTCTATAGTTTTGCTTACTATTGTTGCGTTTTAATACTTGCTAACATAATTACTCCTCACGGTGTATTGTGCGTCAATATTCTGTCATCATATTCAGGTGCCTGGGATCTGACGACAGCGCCAAATCCCAACAGTGGTGGGCGTGGATAACGAATTCTGCAGGGATGTTGCGACTCTACCGTCTACCCACGTTCTACAAGTCCACCCCACCGTGACTAGTATGAGAAGGGATGGGTATGTAACGATTCCCGGCGATTTTACCCGAGAAGCGGTCCAGGAAAACACCGAGGCGGGGCCAAGTATTGATCGCGGCCAATATTAAAGGGGTCGAGTGAAAGTATACGCGTAAAAACGGCCTCGGGAGGTCGTTGCGGATCCAGCTGATTCGCCGCGATGATTGATCGTTTGGGATGTTTGGAAGTGTCGCTCCGTTCCGAATCACTTTCGATAATACTGCCGCTCATATTGCTGTTATTTTTGTTGTTATTATTATTACTATTATTATCATCGTTATTATTTTATGGGATGACTGTTTGTCCACATTTTATACAAATACGATTTCTCGATGAAAAAGAATAAATTGTTTTTAACACTAATATTATTTTAGTTGCCGGATGTGTATGATGCACACTATATACACACTAAAATATCTTTATATAGTGATGAGTATAAATAGGCCAAAAGCGGTATCCAAGAAAATAGCTAATAGTTGCGTCCTGTGGTAAATACTTATCCTAAATTGCGGTCAGTGTTTTTTTATAGTACCCACTACCCAGTCTCACTATTGAAAAATATAAAACATATTAATAAATATTATTTACTATGAGAATTTATTTTCTTTCTTATTCTTACGCATACTGCTGTTGCATTATAATTACAGGCAGTTTGAAAATCTTATTTTGCAATTTTTAATTACATTTTCGTCTGTTTATTTTTTTCTTATTAAGTCATTAGTAAGAACATTTTTGACATATTCTTTTTATAAATTCAAATTTTTAAAGTTTTAATTGCTATTAATAAACTTTCAAAACAATAATACTATATTATAAACGTGTGTTATGATTGTAGTAGTTATTTAACATGTAATGTTAATATTATATGACAGAAATATCTTAAAATTATAGATATTAATCAAGCTATAACTATTACATAGGTACTACTTGCATTTCAAAAAAAATTTTACCTTAACTTTTAGCTAGTAAATTTGAAAAGTGAGTAGGGTCCAGTTACACACTAACGTATCTGTTTATAATTATTTTAAATTTTAAATTTTTTTTCTTGAAATTAATATATTTGTTAATGGTTGAATAAAATATTAAAAATTAAGTTAAAAAATATTATTTTATTTACAAAATAAGTGTTTTTATGTGTTATTCTATAAAATAATTAATTTATAAATTATCGAAACAGTAGGTATTGAATATATTATATACGTGTACTAGTTATCTTATTAATCAATACCGCTCTCTTTATTAAAATCTTAAATAAATTGTACAAATTGTTATTTATTAATTTATTGTATCTATACTACACTTTTTCAGTCATGAGATAAGATTGACATCATAGGCGTGACTCGACCAGTCGTCTTACACGTTGGGCATATTATGCTGTATGTAAATATAAATTATTCTTTCCATTTGGCAGATACATAGGCGAAACTACGAATCAGGCCAAGCAGGCCATAGTCTGGGTTAGTAGTCGGCAATAGGCAGCCCGCGGGCCAAATATGGCCCGTGAAGGAAAAATTATTGGACCACAAAAAAATATTTTTTTTATAATGCTGGTTTTCCATAATATAATATAAAACACATAATATATATTTAATTTAATTTATGATGTATTTAGAGATAACGATGGTGTTTATCGTTAATCGTTGTTTACAATAATAGTTGCGATAACACAACAATTATTAACTAATATCTGAGTTTTTACTGGCCCTCAATATCTTTTTTTTAATTTTCTGGATCTCCCTAGAATTTAATTGCCGACCCCTGGTCTAGGTAATGTCTACAGGTTATCGGCCACAGAAATGATTTACATGTTGTACTTATAATAATATATATTTATAAATTATAAGAAATAAAAATAAATTTTTTATATTTTATTAAAATCAACAAATGAAATTTACCTTTAGATATTATTATTTCTATTTAATTAATTTTTTTATAATTATTTAATTATACTATATTCGTTTGTAGAGAGATTTGTACAATATATTTTCGTCGAGTATACGCATATTAAATTTATAGAAATACCTATAATAATGAGAGCGGCGGTGACCGATTATACAGACCATATTTTTGTTGCAGTTACATACAGTATCCGCACCACAAATAAGCTGTAACATTTATTAATTATCGGTAAATTTTCTTGGAATTAAATTTAAAGCTTGAATATAATATCGTGACAGTATAACTATTATACAAAAAAATTTTATTAATATCTAAGTATATTAAATATTAATACAAAACACAATTCTAGAGTGTAAATACAGATTTACACAAGTTTTTCTATAATATTGAAAAATATATAAATTTTAAGATGTAATAATTTTTTACCAGAGAAAAAAGGAAAAATTAATAAACGTTTTTACCTATCCTTTTACAAAAATGTAGTTTAACCTTTTAGTAGGTGTTAGAAAATAGGTACTCGTATGTATAAAATATTTATAAATAAATATATGCCTACTTAAATAGAAATCAAATTGAAATTATTTGTAATAACTATCTAATCTATACAATATTTTATTAAAATTTAATAATTAACTTTTTATAATCTTTTATATAACTGTAGCATTAATCAATTTTTGGAATGCAATTATAGGCTGTAAAAAAAATGATATATTGAGACGCAAGATGATTATACCTGTTTTTGATCTTTTTAATTCGGTTCCGAATTACTTATTAAATAAAATTTGAAAAACAACTGTATGCATTATTTGAAACTCAGATTAAACTATTTTCGAAGTTATTTGTAGGGTGCAACTATATGTAGTTCTCGAAAAGGGTTTTTTGGGTCTTTAATCCCTACTCCCATTAAATTAATGACGTATACCTTATTTTAAATTCTACTCAAACATTATGTACTAAATAAGTTGATTTATATTATTACAGACACATAATTACATACATTTACCAACTTTATACGTACATTAAAACACATTAGTTATAGTTATACTGTTGGCCGTGAAGTAAATTATAGTTTTTATGTGAAGATCTAATCAAGATAAACATAATTGTTACCTATTAGACCCTCTTCCTCTCAATATAAACTCCTATAGGTATCCTTCTAAACTTTTTATAAAAAGAATATTGGTAACAGTAATAAGAAAAAACATAATATTATTGAAGAACTCGTACATATCTTACAAATATCTTAGAAAATTTTAATCGTTAACCTCAAAATGTGTGTATATAATCACTATAAATTACTATAATATTCTATTCAGTTTTAAAATTCTAAACTATGTAAATTGTTTGGACCGACTACCATAAATGGATAAACATCAATTGATTGTAAATTTGTAAATCATTTACCGCACAAATATCAATCTCAATCATTTTACCGATTATTGATCGCTAAGATTAATAATTGTTCTAATTCTTCGATTATGTCATACCTAAATTTTATTTTTCTTCTTTGCTCGTAGATTAACTACTTAAAAGTTAAGTACTAGTCATAGTATAAATAAATATTATAAAAAACCTATTTTAGGGATGCAATGACACAATGAATACTAATTACAAAAAAAAAATATAATATAAACATAAAAAATATTAGTCATTACATACAATTTTAAATTTGGAAAATTTTAAATATATAATATATTTTAGTAAGCTGACATGGCACCTGTGGTGGGCGTAGAGAAACGGAGCAATTGCCTGAACTACAAATATAATTTTAAAAATTTTAATTTTTATTATTGTTGAAGTAAACATTTTATTGTTATTTTGACATAAGAGGACGCCGCACCCGCATGCGTTGTCTCTGTCTTACATACGTACAACATATCAAATTTTCGTTCAGCAGAGTCCATTTTATATTGTTAGCTTTAACATTAGAGTAAATTTACCTATTATCAAACTTAAAGATAAAAATTTTATCTAAGCAATGACAGGATTTTATTGATATTTTAATTTTAAGCTAAGTTATAGCCATATAAGATATTGAAAACTTTAAAATGCTCATAACTCACTTTAAAATTATAATATTAACAAAAGCCTATGTCATTGTTTAGATAAAATTCTTAAATTTAAGGTTGATAATAGGTAAATTTACTCTAATGTTAAAGCTAACAACATAAAATAGATTCTGCTGAACGAAAATTTGCTATGTTGTATGTATGTAAGACAAAGATAACACATTCGGGTGCGGCGTTCTCTTAAGTATAGATTTATTTTTTTTATATATACTTATTATTTGCTTTTATTTTTTAGTTTGCAAAGAATGAAATTTTTTTTAATCCTCCTTTTGGTAAGTATTTGATTTAATACTATATTCCTCGTTGTTAAATTTTACGTGTGGGCCCATTAAAGTTAATAGGATTAAATTATTATTATTATTATTTATTTTTTTATTCTCTATATGATTTTTAATATTAAAATATTTATTATAGGTACGCTTGTAAGTTATGATAAACATTATTTCAGTAAACTTTAGTTTAAATAAACAATTTTATGATAAATATAAATTGTGTTCTCGTAAATTAGATATACGATTATTAAATACTAAAATGATATAATACACCGACATAAATATGAATTAACGAGTGAAAATGTAAAAATCTTACAATACTAACATGAAACAATTATTATTAGATATTACGTACTTTATTTATTATTTAATAGATCGTGTGAATCGGAAACGTGCTTGTATGTATTTGTACGTATTTAATCATCTAGAACCACGCTCAAAACGACAAAAGTTTAGGCTGGTATTGGAGTGTAAAGGCAACTTAAGAGTATTTAAAAAGTATCTACCTTAATACATAGAACTAATAAAATCAATCAGATTACCTTTTAAACGTTGTTATTGGCTTGATGGCGGCTACAAATGATGATTGTGATAAAAGTTGTGTTTTGTCAGTATACTCTGCTTACTGGGCGTGCAAGGACTGCAAAACATCCGATCGATACGCGATTGCATATCAGCGTAACTTTACAGTGTTACATCATGTGAAAAACTTTATAGTCGTATTGAGAAATGAGAATATTATCCATAGTTCACATTTGATATCAAATAGAGATTTAATCTAATAATTTTGATTTCTACCTTTATATTTGTTCCCTGCTAATAGCTTGCAAACATTCAACGCTAAAATCACAGGAAAGTGGAAACTCGCTTGCACGTTTAAACTGTTGAGAGTTGAGTAAAATACATACCTACTGATACTAATATACAAACTTCCAGTTCAAAATAAAATGTTGATGTTTGTCTTAATACACGTTTAATTATCCGATGAATATGGGGGGGGGGGGCCTTTAAAAGTGTCACTAGCAACACATTATTTTTTAAAATTTTTTTTTTTAGAAAAGTTTACAAGAACCAACAAAATCTTACAAGCACACCATTCATTCTTTGGTAGGTATGTATTATATACATAACTTATGTTAAATCACCAGGTTTTTTATCATAAATTAATTTTGTTATATTTTTTCTATGATTAACTTTCTAAAAACAACACCACTTAGTTTTATATTTTTGCCGATATATTATTGTCCCTTTGCTATTAAAATATTACCAGATTATATCAACCAAAGTCCAAAATAATAATTACTCAACATTCAACAATTACATTAATTCATAAGCCACAACAAAACTGAGAATTAGTTTTAAGAATTACATTGAATTAATTCAATTAGTAAAAAACTAAAAGTAAATAAATATTATATTTAATGTAAAATAACTAAGTATTTGCTTCTCCTACTAATACTTAAACTAAAATAGATTCACTAAATTAAATATATACCTCATTTTTATTTTCCATCGCTACAACTATTGTAGATTGCTGTTGTGATAAGTGATAACCATATTAATAATATTTTATAACAAGCATTATAAAAAAAAAAATGAAATTTTATTTATGAATAAAATGGTCTTGAATTTTAAATTAAATCCTGATCTGATAAAATAAATATTTGTCTATTGATGACGAATGACGATGTAGAGTGGTTGTAAGTAGAAATTTATAATATTCTTTCTTCTAAATCTTTAAAATATGTAACACTCGGAACAATAATACCCCCTTGCCATCCATATACCAAATTCGTCCCTACCTAGACAAAACAGGATCTAGCCAATGAAGTAATGTTAACATTGGCCAAGCTGAAAATATTGAAATAATTACATCTTAATAATGCAGATTCGTTTAATAACGGAGATAAATAAAACTACAAAAGTGTTTTAAATTTAAAACTGTTTATTTCTAAAAAAAAAAATAAATTGAATGCATAATTAATTACATAAGTCCATTTTGTAAATTATTTTAAGTCATAAATTTAACAATAATGAATGTATTATATTTAATGTCATAGAAAGCTCTTCTTTAAACAATATATGTATTGAAGGCTATAAATAATAACAGATGTGTATCACTGTTCATAGTTTACTTAAATTTAATTGAAATAATTGATACATTTACAAAAAAATATATTTGATAATGTTAAATGTATCATAAAAATATTATAGATAAAGTATGAGTATAATTATAATTCATGTAACATTTAAATAATTCGAATACAATATTTATAGCTTAATTATATACTTAATGTATAATTGTTAAGATTGCTGTCACTACAATCTATAATACAAAGTCGTCAGTCGTAAAGATGAATTAAACGGGTGTGCCTCGAAAAGATTCTATGAATTGATTACTAAAATATGGGAGATTATTAATAAATTATTTAAATTTCTTAAAAGATTAAAACTTACGTTAAGTCATGCAAACCAATATCCGCGAAAAAATAATCGCAAAGTCGAGAACTATGGTGGTTATTAAAAAACGGAAATAATCCAATAACCGATGTTTGTAGAGAACTAAAATTTAAATTTAATGTTTATATAATATATAGAACTCAAATATTTATGAAAAAATAAAATACTCACGGATCCAAAATACGTTTCGTCAAATTATCATGTCCCATATGTATAATTAATTCTTTGAATATGGTCTTTAAATATGCTCTTCCAGAATAAGATGTTTCACTTTCAATCAGTCGTACTGATGAAAATACTTTCCATGAAATCGAATCGGAGTATAAAAGTTGAGCAAAGAATTTAGCAAGATTTACTAATTTATTTGGGTTGTAATTATGAATAATTGGGTAGCTCTGCATAAAAATAATTTCTAATGATTCAACTATCAATTCATTCATGCAACAAAAATTCTGAAAATTATAATAGACATTAGACATAAAAAAATTTAAGGACTACATTGGTATTTATCATTTTCATCCATTAAACACACAATTAACTAAATCATTTTTAAAACTGTGTATTAAACATTGCGACTAAACCACAATATTTTAACCTTTTATTAAAACAACAATGATCGTGTCTTTACTGAGTAATAATTAGAACAGCAAACTATCTGTATATACTTAAATATAGAATGTAAATAATATAAATATTGGTATAGGCACCTACATAAATATTTTCTAATACGTTTTATTTAATTTTAAATAGTTTATTTCACCACTTACGTAGTTATACTGCATATAGTAATGGATGTAAGATAACTAATATTAGTGTAACATTTAATAAAATAAAAATATTTTTAATTTAATTTTTACTTGTAGTATAGATCCATAAAATTTATTGTATACAACACTGTTTTCGAAGCAACAATCCAAATATGTAAGGCACAGTTGCATTTCTTGACCAGGTTTTAATTTAATTTGCATTAACTCAAGAGCGATGTCAAGTGAAGATAGTTTCAAATTTACCATTATGCTAATGGTTTTTTTTATTGATATATTACTGCTTAATGAAAACATGTTTGTTTCTGATTCTGTAATAACAAATAATTATTAAACATTAAACAATAACTAATTATATGTGTGCATAGTAGATATGTGTTAAAATATAGTATATAAAGATTGCAAGGAATAACAAATATCAGTATATCACATCTGTCAGTAACACTTAGCTATTGGTCTATTAAATAAAAAGAACTAATATTAAAAAATTATAATAATACTAATTGAAATTAAAGATAAAAAAATTTATCAGAAAAGTATTTCATAGATAGCATTAGATGAGTTTAAAATGAGTATTATATGTGTATAATATGATTGAAACATGGTTTTTGTTTAATAATGAATATTTTAATTATAAAGAAATAACAATATTTTTACTACATATTAAGACTAATTACGAGCAATTATTTTAATTCTTACCAAATTCATCTTCATCGTCAGCCATTTCATCAAAATCATATTTTGCAAAACTGTAAACTTTACGTTTCGATTTTAGTACTGACCTGATATTAGTTCTATGAATAATTTCATTAGATTTATAATCTAGATCATACTTGAAAGAATCTACAGAATAAAAACTTAAAATTAAAGCATGAAAACAATATTATTTTGATATAGATTATGTATTATAAATCATTACCTAGTTCATATTGAGGATCGTATTCAGAATTTAAAGACAATAAGTGAGTGTACTGTTTACGAGGATCTACTAAATCAAACTGCTGTTCGTCGTCTTTGAAATTATCTCGATATGTTGTCAATATAGTTTTTGCCAAACATTGTACCTAAAAAACGAGTTTATTGTTTTAAATAAATTAACGTACACACTTAACTTAATTTTATAGTTTCTTATAGATCATTAATAACAAATGATTTTAAATAGTTGAATATCCATAAGTAGCAGTAAAATATATGTTTACAGAACATGGTATAGGTATTTATGATTTCCAAAAAATGTAAATGCTTTTATAATTTATAATATTTAAGACAGATACTGTGTTAAATAACTTTAAAATAATTTAATTCGTTAATAGTCATTTATCCATGACTAAATGATTAAAAATATTTTTTTTATTTAAGCATTCGAGTAATAATTATGAAACAATTTTTATAAAAATCTTGGGTACACAGGATAATACAAAAAATGATTTGTCTACTATAATTTTGTGTTTGGTCTATGACTAATCTTTAAATTATATGCTACATATAAAAAAAAAATAGAATATTGATAAACCAAAGTAATAAATAGATATTATAATTTTTTAATTGCTCTATTTTTTAATCTATTAAACTAAATTTAGTTAATCAAAAAATGACTTGATGTCTAAAACAATTATTCTATCGATTTTCAATTTCAATTATTTTAATAATTTTCGTTAAGTTATTATAAAATATAATTTATTAAGAAATAGTGGGTCCCAAAAATAAATTTACAAATATTAATGAGCAAATTATCAACATTTTTTTAATGTATAAACCATTGGTATTTGAATTGGGTAAAATTGTATTATCTCTCAGTCCTCACTTATTATAATAGGTATAAAAAATATTGATTTACCGATTTATCAATCTGTTTATCTTGCGAAATATTTTCCAGCGTATCAAACATGTATTTTAAGTCTAGCTCGTTCTGCAGGTTCAACTTCAATTTCTTTCCACATACTTTCAAAATAACTTTTATCATATCCATTGAGTGTATGGTCGGTGATTTTATAAGTAGTTTAATAATATCAAAAGCCAACCCGTCTTTAGCCTATATTAATAATCGACATACATCAATACAAAATTTGTACATTATACATTTAATATGACAATTAATATAACTTACAACTTTATGATTAATCATAAAGGTTATAAAGAGTATTGGCTGCATATACTTGTCCTCTTCTTTAAATTTGTGTGCATTCGTGAACGTACAAATACACCTTATCAACAGCAGTTCGATCACGTTTGGAAACTAAATGTACAAGTAGACCAGTTCGAATCAATGAGTAAAATTATTTTTATCAAACAAATAAGAATTGTCTACCTCGAGATTAATGAAGGATACCAAAGTGGCATACATATTTGTACAGTGGAGTGATGCCGATTGTGCGTTTATAATAGCCTGACATAATAGCCCCTTAGCACGTACAATATTTAGTTGCAATAATTTATTTCTTGTAAATCGTATATTGCCTGGATTTAACTTTTCTATTGCAGTTTCAATAGAGAATTTCAAATAGCTCCAATTAATTCTCTGTTCGGTTGGACTTAAATAATAAAATAATTAAATAAATATACATATAATGATTATTAAATATTTTTAAATTTAGTAAGCGGAGCGATAAATGTATTGATTTACAATGTGTTGGTTGTGTGTGTGTGTGTGTCTGTGTCTGTGTAAACATGCGCGCGTGTGTATGTGTGCATGTGTGGGTGTGTGTATTTTTCATGTATATACCTACAATAGGTAAATGGTTAAAAAAATATTTCAATTTTTCACTTAAGTGAAGTTTTATTGATAGAAAATTAAATCTTGTTTTTACTTTAGAAGGGTCAAAATTTAATTTTTGTACAAGTACAAAAATATAATAATACATTTTACAACTGATTTTTAAATATACCCCATAATGCGAAAATTAAATACAGCATACTTGCTGATCACTTGAAAACTATAATTTTTCTTTCAATGACAATTATTTATGTAGGTACAGAAAAAGAAAAAAGAAAAATTAAAATAGGTACTCAAATAATCATGAATCATGTTATAAATCCTAACCTCTTATTTATTTATCAAATCTAAAAATAAAACGATTGTTAACTTACTTGACAGCATTATTTTCATTGATGACGTTCATATTTGCATAATTTTTTCCAGAGCCTGTAAATATACAATAAAATATTGTATTTAATAGAAAGATGTAATTAGTCTTACATGTATTTTATAGACACGATTTAAATTGTAAAAGTGGATTATTATTTTATTGAAAATAATAGTGAAATATACTTTTATACTATTAGATTTTCATATTAGATGTTAACTTAAGAAAAAGAAAAGTAGAAAATAAATAACAGTACAATATTAATTGAAAATAAAAATTCTTTATGGTTTATTTCTAACTTCTTGAAATAAAAAATAATATAAAGATAATTGATAATGTTGAAAAACGAATATTTGGCTTTGATTTCGTTTGTTATAATTTTTTTTTTTTTTAAGAAAATCAACACTAAAATTGGATAAGTACGGCATTTAATTTTTAGAGAAAAGCGACTACGACTACCTAAATCCATAACGTATCCATCTGTATCTGTAATTTTCTTTCTTTTCATTTATGTTATCAAATTAACATTACTATTATATAAAATGTAGATTGTAAAAATGTCTTTAATTTATATAATACTCGTATATAATATGTGTGTTTATATGTGCATATATATTAGCTCTAAACTCGAAAGTTAGATATAAATGTCTGTGTGTATTTAATTATACAAATATTTGAAAATAAAGATAAGCATAGAATTTTGCATTGTTATTAAAAAAGATCGATATGTTGGAATCAAAAAGACACATGACTAAATTAATACAAATTGAATATTATAGCTATTTTGCATTGTGAGAATTTTTAGTTGGCTTAATTATTTAGTTTAATAAATTAACAGCCTAAAATTAGAATGCAAAATTACATCTCACGGTAAAATGATAAAAATGTAAAGAATGCTAGCCAATTTGACCCTATTAACTTTTTTATATTGAATAGGTACAATTTTTATAATTATTATTTGTATTGATAAATTAAACTGTTTAAATGTACAATGTTGTCTTACATGATATTTTTAATGAAAACTTATTATTTCAAAACGTATTTTGTTATAGATGTTTTTAAAAATGTATTATTTCTTAAAATGTTTTGTTAAAATATTTTTGAAAAAAAAAATTAATTTTTAGTCTCCGATCATTATTAGGTATTTTTAACTTTTAACATTTTTAAATGAAAACAAAAAAATGTAATTTCATATTTTAAGGCAAAATATTAAAATTTTGATATGAAAAATTTGAGTTTTAAACCAATAATTTATGGTGATTATAAATTTAACCTTATAATTAAACTTGTAAGGATTTAAAATTTAGGTGATTGAAGTAGAGTGGAGCGAAATAATAAAATATTTCTCTGTAACTGCACTAATCTTTTATTTTTTTATTTTAATTAGAATATACAATCTATAAATATATGTACAATACAGATATTTGATGTAATGGCTCCAATAGGGAAAGAAAAAAATTGAAATTACACGTGATATAAAAATTACCCATTTGTCACTTAAGAGTTCATAGGTATTCCGCTCATATTTTCTTCTTTTTGAAATCTGTTACAATTATAAGAACATTAAAGGTATGACATATCTTAATACCTTAATTAAAAAAATATATACCCATGAATTTCAAAATGAAGAATCATCTAACCGGAGATACTTTAATGTTCATCACTTAAAAACTAATTAATTATACGTGAAAAATCATTTTCAACGTACAAAATTCTCAAAATACTCCAATTTGGAACATGAAATAAAATAAATGCATGCTGATATTTAAAAAAGCGTAGAGAAATTCGATTTAAACGTTGATTAAAATAACTATATGGTTACCCTAGGTACTGTAATATAAAATACGCTTTATCGTGTCATAACTCATAATTGGTAATACCTATAATATAATGCAAGTACTAATTGATATCGTTGTAAAATTATAAATTTTCGGTGATAAAAAACATTATAATATCATACTATGATAATATTACAGGCGATATATTATACTCACAGTATCGTTTGCGACCATAGAAAGCCGACATATTCAGCTGTGGCTCTTCCGTGTCCGAAGAATAAATTTCAAACATTGTGGTGGGTAACGGCGATGACAACACTATTACCAAATGCGAGCGAATAACATCGACGTAAAACGAGACAACGGTAAACGTGCTGCAAACGGCGCGCGATAGCAAGTGCTCAGTGGTCGTGGTGGCACGGCGAGCAAATCTGAACACAGCAATCAGTGGTCTTGGAGGCTATGGTGATGTGAGGGCGGGTCGGCGCGCGCCGCAGAAGGCGACGTCGTCCTTCGTCCGTCGTCGACGTTGTCGTCGGCATAACATAATAATATGTTTCGTCGCATAAAAGGCAAATATAATAAGACGGACCTACGTTCACGCACGTGTTCATTAGTTTGAGCCGTTTGTGGCGATGGCCTTGAAACCCGTGACCAGAGACGTTGGTATTTTGTATTGGATGTAGAAATGCAAAAATAATTAGGTGAGGGGTCGAACAATATCTAAACATGAACGGACCCCTAAATCGACCTTGACGCGTATACAACGTCTACGCCTCCTTCTCTATACGAAACATACACGTGCCTACCTACCATGCAGGGACCGCACAACGAGAGTTTGGAGTACGGAGAACCGGTTTTCTTAGAAATCCGTTGAATTGAAATCTTGATATATTTATTTCAAGTAAAATAATATTGTATGGTATAAATATTGTCGTTTTGATGTTTTAAGCTGAGGATTGCCTAGAAATTATAATTGCGTATGAGATGTCCGTATCGCTTGTAATGGGATTGTTATTATTTTCAATTAGAATGATTAAATTGATATACTTATATGGCTGTATGTACCATGTACCTATATATATGGCCAAATTTAAATTAACATTAAATACTTGGCAAAGATCCCTCAAATGCATTTACTACCTACAACGGTCACAAAAATTTATCTTGGGCGAGAGCTGCTACTAAGTGACGTGTCCCACATCCAAATCTCCGTATTTTTCAACTATTACAACTGATTTAATTATTAATAATTCAATTTTCAACCAGACTGACCTTTGTGATTCCTACAGTCGCAAATGTATCCATTAACCCCGACCGAACCGTTAGAGTTAGAATTCATTAACTCTTACGAAGCAACTACAGAAATGCACACGTCTTATTTACACACTGCAGTGGATAAATCGAGGTACCTAAAAGCGTACAGCACATTATATAATATTCAAAATAAATAATTTAATATATTTTATTTTCTCTGTGTACTCATTAGTTACTCGTGTAATCCGTTACTGCCACTAAATTTCCCCACAAAAAAAAATTAGAACTTACATCGATAGATTGCTTCCGTGAACATAAGTGGTTTTTATTTATTATTATTATTTTTATTAAATGACACTTACATAAATTATTCAACTTTTTGATAAGGAAATACTTAATCGACTATCTTAATTCATGTGCATGACTACTCACTAAGTAATTCTAATTTCGAACGCAATTCGTATATACTTTTTACCAATATAGACAAAGTATCATATTGGTAATTAATAAATTATTTTAAACTCGTAATAAATAATAAAGATTATTTTTTATGTAGTTTGTTTCAGTGATTATAATTTATATTATGTAATTTTATACAGTGATTCTCTTGGTAGAGAATCGTCAACAAATTGTTTAAGGACGCGAATATGTAACTTATTGTGAACATGAATATTTTTTAAATAATTATTGTTTTAATTTTAATACAATAAAAACATACTAAATTGTAACAACTTTTCTATAATAATATTATAAACCTAAAAGTCGTTATGAATCTTAGTGACAATATGAGTGGGTGGGGGGGGGTCACGGACTCAAAAAGGTTATAAACCACTGATTTAATGAATTTGAAACAAATAGAGGAAAAATGTCTACTTATGCCTAAAAACATTTTATTTTTTTAGTAATAATTAGATACCATTGTGTGCAAATATTAAATTTGTTATTTTTTTTACCATTTTTGAAAATTCGTAAACTAAGAATAACCAATGAATAATCCTTATACATTGTGGAAATAATTATTTTTATAATATTTTCGAGATTATCTAGTTTATTATTAAGAATTAAAAACCATTGAGCTTGTACTCGTATATCTAACAATTTAATTAAATAAAAGTTAGCAACGAAAATACGTTAATTTATGTGTTCGATTTTCCCGAACCGAAACGTTTTACAAACCACAGGCTACCCTAAACAAATCGTTAAATCTATATGTCAGATGCGTGCTTATAGGAAATTAACTCACTGATGTGCATGCACATACCATTACAATTCTGACGTTGACTGTTATAAACTATTCTTTAAAATATTCAAAAATATAATATATTAAGGGGTCTTGCTTCGGTTAGTATTTAAGAGGACGTCGCATCCGCACGTGTTGTCTCTGTCTTACATACACAAACAACATAGCAAATTTTCGTTCCGCAAAATTCATTTTATATCGTTAGCTTTAATATCAGAGTAAATTTACCTATCATCAAACTTAAAGGTAGGAATTTTATGAAGGCGTTTATTAATATTATAATTTTAAAGTGAGTTATGAGAATTTTAAAGTTCTAATATTTTATATAGCTATAACTCAGTTTAAAATTGAAATATCAATAAAAATCTACGTGATGGCTAAGATAAAATTACAACCTTTAAGTACGATAATAGGTAAATTTACTCTATTGTTAAAGTTAATAACATAAAATAGATTTTACTAAACCAAAATTTGCTATGTTGTATGTATGTAAAACAGAGTTAACACATGTGAGTGCGGCGTCCTCTTAAGAAACGTAACAGTGTCAATGCAATGAAGTTTTCAAGAAATCTATACTTGAAAAAAAAAATAATAATAATCTCAACGACCTGAAAATAGTTGTTTATTATTTATAAGCTCTTTTATAACGTGGATTATTTTTTGTAAATATTTTCAAATCTATTTCCTTTGCTCGTGTTATTGATTAAAATCATAATATAAAGGAGTTGCCTAAAATTAAACAGCTTGTATTAAATTATACCATTCGCTCTATGTAAAACGAGCGAATAAAGTCCACCATCATCCGCGATCGATCGCACATGCTCAATTTTAGGCGAACATTCACGACGATTTCAAATCGCATCCACGCGCGAACTATTCACCTAGTGTGTAAGGGCTATTAAGGGACAATATTTAGACAATTTCTAATATCGTCTTAGCTTCTCGGAATCCGTATTAAATGCAAATGATTATTAGTGCGAGTGAAATTCAATGCGGGTACCGTTCTTATTCATACCAATAGAACAGGTAGTCGTAGGTATAATAGAATAGGTAGTCATAATATTGGTCACGTGTTGAATGATTATCCTTTAAGAGACGGTTTATATTTATGATTTGTCTTCCATACTCAGCAAAACTATTTTGTTTATTATTTGCTGAAATACTAACATTTCAATACTAATGGCTAACTGAGTTTGAATAGGTAACACATTCCGAGTTAAAAAGAGTGCTTTTTATACATTTTGCACAGTTTTTTCAAAGTAATCAAAATAATATATAATTCTTATAACTTCCGAGCCCTACTCATTACGATAATTAGTTTTATTTTTGGTTTTCTGGTAATCGTTTTATTGTTAAGAAACACTTTTCGTTTTTAATTTTTAATTATGATTTGAAAACAATTATATTATCAAGTTTTCAATTACAGTTCATAATAATATAAGATTTAATTTTTACAAAGTGTTCCGTGCGATCTATTGACAATTATTTGTCGAGTTCAAATTTTTCTTTCGGAGTAAATAACGAACAACGTAAGCTAACTTTCGTTTTGTCTAAACTTAATGTCTTTGAGCTCAGATTTGACGGCAGTAATGAGGTCTTTTAAATCTTATAGAGATAATTAAATTCGTTTTAGAAAAAAACATGCATAATTATGCTTTAAAATATAATAAAGAATCATAAAAATTAATAGGAGATATTTTTGACCAATAATAATTAACGTGAGGGTAATACTCATATAGTCATATACCATTATTCACGCTCACGCACAATAAGAGTACAAGAATATTGACGTTTCATCAGATTTACCTTTTATTTATAAAATGTTTTGGTGGATTTTTGTTTGACAGAGCTAAACAATGTATGTATACTATTACAAATAAATAGAAAAATACTTATTACTAAACTAGTAACTCAATTAAATTTTCAGAAAAAAACTTAATTACAAAGTACAGGATACTGCCGTGTTAAATTTAAAATTGAATATCAATATATAATTTTTATGTATTTAAAATTATCTAGTATAAGTGTAAATACTGAATAATTTGAATACAACTTAAAATTAAAAATTAAAATTAAAAAAGTACATTTATTATTGAAGTTATCTTTAATAAGTACATTAGTACTGATAGGTGAAACTAGTATTTTATCTACGTAAATATGGCCTATAAAGTAAAATTATAAGAATGTAAATTCAAGAGTCTATTAGATGTAAAAATATAATATTTTAGTTTAAATTTGCCTAATAATGACATTTATAGAGTCATTTTTCCATGCTAATTAATATTGAACAATCATTTAAATTACATTGTGTAATATTTAATCTATTATCATTATTATTTAAAATGTTCCTTAAGTTTTTAATATTTAAGTATTTAATTGCTGCGTTGCACATAATATATCAAAATATATAAACAAAAAACTGACAAGAGTAATTTATTGGAGACAAATTTTAAATATTATCGATTCCGATTAATGTCTTCGAAATTTATATGGAAAACATTTTATAAATATTACATCACTACGAAGTACGAGTTATACAAGAAATGTCTTTATCTGCCTAATTATGCCAAATAATTTTAATTATTAACTATCCCTCCGCCAACATTTATTATTTATAATTCCACACTTGAACTGTTGAACTCGATATATTGTATACAATATTATTTTCTGGTTTACAAAGCTCTTCAGCTTTCGACGAATTGTTTTTGTATAATTATTTACCATTTTATTTTGATAACACCATGTCAATTATTGTCAGTCAAAAAAATAAAACTGTAAATTAATAATAGTCTCAA